ATGATTTAAATAAATATATTTTCTAAATAAATATTCTTGCCTCTATCAACAGCTTTAGAAATATGCCTTCTAATTCTAAAATACCTTTGCTCTGACATTTTTCAGTTCCGCCCATGCTGTCCATACCAAATCAGCTAGAAGGCGCCTATTTGGGCCAGGACGTCATGCTGGAGTGCCACACTGAGGCATATCCGGCCTCTATTAACTACTGGACGACGGAACGAGGCGACATGATAATATCAGGTAAATGTTAAATGCCAGCCAGCTTTTTAAGCTCTACTTACTGGCAACGTTGTGTGGTTGACTCTATGTGTATATACTCTGTGCAGAAGTGTGTATGGTTGTGTAGGCATATGTGAAATAACTCCAATCTTGACCAAAAGCGGGGGGCCTTTGCATTGTAGCCCGGTTTATTATGTGGACGAGCGTTTGTAAATGAGCTTAAAATGTAATCAACATGCTGTGCGGCCAAGGCCAGAATATTGCGCCTGAAAATTGTCATGTAAAATGGCAAAAATTAAAACTCGCATCACGGCGTAAGCCCAAAAAATAAGTTAAGCCGCTGACGTTGCCACACACAGTCAGTGCCACTGCCACTGCAACTGCCACTGCCATTGCCAGAGGCAACTGAGGCAGAGGCAACTGCAACTGCAACTGCAACTGAAATGAAAACAAATGAAAATCCATTGGCAAACAATGACGTGGGGTGCTGCTCCTGCTGCTCCTGCTGTGGCGATTTCTTTTTTGCATTACTCATACGCACTGAGTGACAGGCATTCGAAAAACATGCACAGCAACTGTTGAGCTGTTAATGTCACATTGTAGAGCTTTAAAAGTGATTGTCTGCATCGCTGCTATGCTTGACAGCTGACGGCGCCTGCAGCTCTAAGAATCCAGCCAGAAAGCGCATTTAAAGGCGAAAGGGCCAACTGCACCGCGGCCTAGCTGAAAAGCTGCTTAAGTACTTAAATGTTCCTTCTTTTTGCTTCTCATGGTAGTTGAGAGCTTCTGTACTTGCCGGCTTTAACAAATATACATACATATATACATACATATATCGACTTTTAATCATATTTTTTGTAATCTGATAAATATATCTGATAAAACCCATTTGTCATATTTTAAGATATTTATATATATCTTAATAAGTATCTCTTATTTTATTCAGGAACAAAAATGTTTTTTTTTTTTTTTTTTTTTTTTTTTTTTTTTACATATAATCGATTATTCGATTTACTAAATGAAATGTTTACGCTGACTTAAGCAAATACTTTTACACACAGTCAAGTCCCGACAATTCAAAATGGCTAGGGAATCAGATTTTTTTTTCGATTTACACAGAAATTCAAATTATCGGGATTCGACTGTATTTATAAATTTTCTTTCATTTTCTTCTTTTCTTTATCCGAAAATGCAATGCTTATATATTTGAAAAATTTTATGAGTCGCCATCATGCAGGATTGAAGCCTATAGGCAACTGCAACATGTGTAAGAGAAAGAGCGAGAGGGAGAGAGAGAGAGATTCAGAGAGATGCAAAAGTCTTGTAGTTCAGTTTTACCTGCCGCTCTTTCAGCAGCTGCAGGTATGCAGCACTGGCGCTTAATTCGATTTTTATTTTAAATTTATCTTTCACATTATTTCTATGTTGAATACTTATTAAAAGAAATATTTAAGTTTTATTAATGACAGATCAACATCAATATATACATAGTTTAACTAAACAATTTGTTATACATATATATCAAAATAAAATATGTATGTATATAAATATTAATATATGCAAATGAACATTTAATTACTGTAAAAACGACCTCAGGCACACATTTAATTAATACAAACAATCTGAGCATAATTGGAACATAAGCAACGTGCATGCCTATAATCACGCATACCTACATATTTATAGTGGAAACATGTGTATCAATCTGTCTCTGAATCTCATATTTTACTGATTACCATATTCGCAATTCGCTTTAATTGATAACTAATTAAATTACAGCAAAGTTTGCTGCAAAACAATTGCTTTTAATTGATCACTGAGCTGTGGCAGAGTGGGTCGAGAAATGTAATATGGTATATAAGCAAAAACTGGAAATCGCATTTGGTAAATATTATATCGATAATGGAAACGGAATTGAATTGATAAATATGATAGCAGCTAAAAACTATATCAGATGAGCCAAATATTCACACAGGCAGATAAACAGATAGACAGATGTTAGAAATATTATGTTGCAGCGGAAATTATTTGAACATAATCACATTGGCAAACACACACACACACCCAGGCGAGGGCCAAAAGGATAAACTCAGCTCAGTTGTGTACCGTCAAAATAAATGAAAATTGAATATAATTAAAATGTCGCAGGCTTAAATGCAGAAATCAATAAAACTCATATAGAAAAAAATCATAGCATACTTTTCAGGGCAAAATATTCATGGAACCCAAAAGAGCTAGCATTCAGCTGTTGTTTTTTTTTCTATTCTTCTTTTATGATTCTCAGCTGATGACTCAGCTATTGCGAGTCATGAGCATAGAAATTATAATAGCTAGACTAACATGCTTATATCTTATTTTTATGCTTAAATGCTATTTGTTTGTTCGATATGCCACACACACCCACACACAAATATATATAAGTGACACGACATTCTGGAGTATGCGTGTGTGTGTGTGTGTGTGTGTTGGGCAAATTATAGCCCAGGTTGTAGAGACATTTCATATGCACACACGCATAGGCAGCAAACAAAACGCGAGCTGCAGATATGAACATTTTCGGTGGCGTCGCGCATGATGCATGGCAAACAGACACCAAAAACTTTTTGGGTAATAAATTTTAAGCGATTCCGCAGTGAAACGCATGGAAACTAGTATGGATGTATGCGTAAGTGTGTGTGTGTGTACCGCTGAAGTAGGGTGGCCAAAGAGACTAGGAAAAGAAAGTTATCTAGTTCAGTTTGCAGATTGAAAATTAAGAAGTGGTTCAAGCTAAAGAAGAAGCGCAACATACATGAAATCAAGAGTCGATGAGACAGTTGGAAATATATTTGAATTGAATTGTAAATATGAATGGAAAAGAAGAAGTGAATAAAATAAAAATAATTAATACTTAT